CCATACCAAACACCAGCTGGCACTGGGTTATATTTCATAGTGGAAAAAACACGATTCCTGGGCTTCTCTGCTTTTCTAATTTGGAAATGACAAAGGAGATTGAGGGAGCTGTTGCAGCCAGTGCCTCTTTACTTTACCTTTTTCTGCACAAAGTCTGGTTTGCTTTGCTTTGGTGACTACAGCTCCCTGGAATTTTAGGAAAACAGTATTACACCTTTGTGCCCTATGGAGAGAATTTAATACATCAGCAAAAACTGAGTTGCTCTGTCTGGATTTTGCCCTTTAGCTGCTGAATCCAGTGAAGAAAATCCAGGTAATGTATTTTCCCTGGCAAATGAAAACAAATGTTTAACATGAAGCATAGGAGTAGCTGTACTGACCTCTCGTGATTATCACCAAATTTACAGCCACCCCTAAAGCACCAGAGCTGAGGTTACCCAGAGCAGACACAGCCAGGAGAACTGAGGATTTTGTGAATCATAGAATGGCTTGAGCTGGAAGGGACCAGGTTGCTCCAAACCTCATCCAACCTGAACACTCCCAAGGATGGGTCACAGGAGAACCCCAACAGGTCCAGTTCTTGTGCTGGGATGCAGCACTGCAGGTGGGACCTCAGGAGGACAGAGCAGAGAGGGACAATCCCCTCCCTCCACATGCTCCCCACACTGCCTGCGATGCAGCCCAGGATGTGATGAATTTCTGGGCACATTACCAGGTCACATCCAGTTTTTCATCCCCCTGTCCCCTGGTCCTTCTTGGCAGAGCTGCTCTCAGTCCCTTCACTGGTTCTGTGTTGGTTCTGGGGGTTTCCCTGGCTCAGGAGCAGGACCTTGCCCTTGGTGACTCCAGGAGCTGGAGGTGACAATGGCAGTGCCACCCAAAGCACAGTGAGCTGCAGGGCTGCCAGCTCTTGTGATGCACGCAGAGTTCCAGGGCAAAAGGAGAGCTGTGAAAGCTGCCCCTGTGTACTGAGCTGTCACACAGGGCAGTGAGCTCTTTATAACACACAGAACACAGGATCATGATGGTAATTGAGTACTTAAAAAAGCAAAAAATCCTGTTGTGCCTTGGGTATGGAATACCTAATGAAATCATGTTTATTGCTCGGCACTAGGCTGCTAATTTGCTTTGATTTAGAATTTATAAAGATAATTGTGGATGTGTGCATCTGCGCAGGGGGCTGTGAAAAGCCTTTCCTCTCCATTTAATGAGCAGCACATTGATGTGGACTGCCTTCATTTGACTTCCCTTTTCCAATATGATTGATTTTAGTCCCTTTGTTGGAGGAGATGGAGCCAGCTAAGGCCAGTGCTCCCACCAGAGGTGTGGGAGATGGGAGCTGAGGAGCAGCCTCCTCTCGTGGATCTGTGGGATTCCCCTCGCCCTAGAGGAACCCTCAGGGTAAAATAAGGAGAGATGCTCACGCTTTAGAGCTCTGATCTTAATATTCTTGGTGACACTTTGCACATATTCACCCCTGGTTTAGTGCTATTAAAAGTTGGAGTAATGTGGTGTCAGCAGTGACACCAAATGCTGAACTGGGATGGTCTTTCTCCCCTCAACACAGATTGCTAAATCCACATGTAGAAATCCTAAAGCCACAAAATGGATTGAGAGGAGCCTGGCACTGGGCAAACAGGCTGAATCAGGACCCTGGCAGGCAGCACCCTCCTCTGTTTGTGCACGAGAGTTGGATCTCATCCTGGTTTCTGCCCGTGATCAGTTGACTTTGAGCTGTCACACTGGGATGATGAGACTTCTCCTGGAGTGGCCAAAGACTTCAGGGATTTTAACAGTATTTCAAACAGCCTGTCGTTTGACACCACTTTGGGAGAGTTGAAGGAGTTAATCACCATTTCCATGAGTGGAAAAAGATGACAAGAACTATCTCCAGAGAAAGCTTCCATCCCTGAAGGCCAGAAACACTGATTCCTCTCTCTGTGCAAGAAACATCAGAAAGAAGGAGATCTCTGAATTTTAATGCATGTTTCTGTATGTGATTAAGCCCATGTGAGAAGATGGCAGCAGTGCCTTTATGGACCACTGAAAATTCATGTTGGCAGGGGAAGGAGAGGACAGACAAAGGTCACAGCTCCATTTTTAGCTATTCCCTCTCCCTGTAAGTGACATTTTACCTAAGCTGGCCTGGTGTCATTTCAGTGGTGTTGCCTGAGGGAATTCCTGCTGCTGGGTGGTTCCTTGTCCCAGGAGCAGCCTGGGCAGGGTGTGAAGGCAGGGCTGCAGCTGCCAGCCCAAGGGATGCTGCTGCAATGCAGACAAGGATGCAGGGAGCAGCCCCCAGGGCAGGCAGACTGCCACATCTTTGGAGTATGAAGTTTTTTCCTTTATCTGCTTCTTCACCTGTTCAACAGCAGGAAAGAAAAGCACCATTAAAGTGTCTGCCCTCCCCACATGACAGATCTGAGCTCAGCCTGCGTCAGGCAGTTTTGTCTGACACTTGTAAAAGATGAGCAGATACAACAACTGTGCCCTCCAAACCTGGAGAAGGAACGGGGAAACTCCCCTGTTCATCTGCAGGGAATGTGCATTTGAAGGGATGCCTGATGTCAGCCCAGACAAAACATCTGCAGCCAGAGAGGGATGTCCCCACAAGACCAAGCAGCAAAACTATTTCACCATCCATAGGGACCATGTCAGAATCTGAGAATCTCTTCTGCCACTTGTTCAATCCCTGACTTGCAGCAGTACTTTCCCCTTGAAACTCCACTTCTCATGTTCAGCAGCAAAGCAGGATTTCCTAAGCCCTTACAAGAGCTCTTCTCCTCTGTATGTTTTGCACAGGAATTAGAGCACATGAAGAGATTTCTTGTGTGATGAGAGGATGTTTTGCATACATCCCTTCAGAGAGCTATTGCTGCACCTCTGGGGAGCCCGAATACTAGATCTAATAATACACCTTAATTAAAATAAATAGTGCTCCTAATTATGTCTTGTCACACAGTTTGTACCCTATGATTTCTCAGTGTGATGCAGCTATGAATAAAACATTAAAAACATATTCATATGTAGTTTTACCCATACAAATGTACTGCTCATGGGCTTCTCAGAGTGCTCTTAGTCTTTTATGAAGATGCTGCAGGTCACATCATGGTTTCCTTAAACTGTGTTTTCATAACTTTAAGGAGCTTTGATTCAAGAAGTGATTTTGTAGTTGTGAGGATGCTGAGAGCCACAAGAACAGTGTCTCCTAACAAAATATATCCATGAAGTGAAAATGGGAGGGAAGAAAATGAAAAGGGAGTTGCAATTTATAGCTAATGCCATGAATTAGGCCCTACTCAAACAACAGGATCAACTTTTACAAGAATGAGCATCACAACGAAGGAATCATTCCAGGACTGGTGGAAATAGCTGCCACTTGTGGCTTCAGAAAGTTGTGGATTCATCCTGCTTGGGATGAAAAGCATCACTTCACATCCAGAGTCTCTAAGTGATCCCTGCACTTCTGAGGGACAGCAGCACCTGGGTCACTGCAATGGTTTGCTTTTAATTGGGGTTCAGAGAGAGTCTGGATTCCATAAAATTTCTGGCTATCTGAATCCAGGCTCATCTGACTTCTTCATATGAAAATAAATTAAAAAAGCTGATTGTACACATTCAACCTAAAATAGAAAATGAAAAATATTGTCTGCAAGTATCTTGTCCCTTATTAGTCCTCCTGTTGGTAGAGAAGAGGGAGTCTTCAGTTTTCAGAGTAATCCAGAACTGTTTTTATTAACTAAAGTAGTTGTTTAGCACCCAAAGTACAGGCTGTAATACTGGGTGTGGTACAGGTGGGATCAGCCTGAGGAGCCAGGAAATGCACAGAGGCTCCAAAATCAGCACTGCTCAGGCAAAGGGAGCTGGGTTTAAAAGTGACTCCAACCCAAACCTGCCTCTTGGGAAGAGAGGTAACAGAAAAAGCCAGGCCGGGACAGGGCCTGGCCGCTGCTGGGACACCGGGAGGGACACGGCGGGTCCCGGAGCTGCCACGGTGCCCACGGCCATGTCTGTGTCTCTGTCCATGTCCATGTCTGTGTCTCTGTCCATGTCTGTGTCTCTGTCCCTGTCCATGTCTGTGTCCGTGTCCATGTCTGTCTCTCTGTGCCTGTCCATGTCTCTGTTCCTGTCAATGCCCATGTCCGTGTCTCTGTCTGGGTCCGTGTTTCTGGCTGAGTCTCTGTCCATGTCCATGTCTGTCACTTTACTCATGTCCATGTCTCTGTCCCTGTCCATGTCTGTGTCTGTGTCCATTTCTCTGTCCATGTCCATCTTTCTGTCCCTGTCCATGTCTGTGTCCCTGTCTGTCTCTGTCCGTGTCCATCTCTTCATCCATGTCTTTATCTCTCTCTGTGTCCGTCTCTCTATCCATGTCCATCTCTCCCTCCGTGTCCATCTCTCCCTCTGTGTCCGTCTCTCTGTCGATGTCCATCTCTCTGCCCGTGTCCATCTCTCTGTCCATGTCCATCTCTCTATCCATGTCCATCCCTCTATCCATGTCCACCTCTCTCCATGTCCATCTCTCTCTCCGTGTCCATCTCTCTATCCGTGTCCCTCTCTCTGTCCATGTCCATCTCTCTGTCCATGTCCATCTCTCTGTCCATCTCCATCTCTCTATCCATCTCCATCTCTGTCCGTGTCCATCTCTCTGTCCGTGTCCATCTCTCTGTCCATGTCCATCTCTCTCCATGTCCATCTCTCTGTCCATGTCCATCTCTGTCCATGTCCATCTCTCTGTCCATGTCCATCTCTCCGTCCGTGTCCATCTCTGTCCATGTCCATCTCTCTGTCCGTGTCCATCTCTGTCCATGTCCATCTCTGTCCGTGTCCATCTCTGTCCGTGTCCATCTCTCTGTCCGTGTCCATCTCTCTGTCCGTGTCCATCTCTCTGTCCATGTCCATCTCTCTGTCCGTGTCCATCTCTCTGTCCATGTCCATCTCTCTGTCCGTGTCCATCTCTCTGTCCATGTCCATCTCTCTGTCCGTGTCCATCTCTGTCCATGTCCATCTCTCTGTCCACGTCCATCTCTCTGTCCGTGTCCATCTCTCTGTCCGTGTCCGTCTCTGTCCGTGCCGCGCTCTCCGCTCTCAGCGCGGCCTCTGGCGCCCTCTGCCGGCCGTCCCGCTCCCTGCGCTCCCCGGGATGTCCGCTCTGTCCGGGACGGCTCCGCCCGGAGAATCCTCCGGGATCCCCGGGATCCCCCGCTCCCACCCCCGGGATCCCCCGCTCCCACCCCCGGGATCCCCGGGATCCCGATTCCCACCCCCGGTATCCCCGGCTCCCACCCCCGGGATCTCGATTCCCACCCCCGGGATCCCCGGGATCCCGATTCCCACCCTCGGTATCCCCGGCTCCCACCCCCGGGATCTCCGATTCCCACCCCGGGATCCCGATTCCCACCCCCGGGGTCCCGATTCCCACCCCCGGGATCCCGATTCCCACCCGCGGGATCCCGGCCCCGCTCCCACCGCCGCTCAGCCGTGTCCCTCAGCTCCACATCTCCGCTCCTCTGAAACACCGCCAGGGATGGTGACTCCACCGCTGTCTGGGCAGCGTGTTCCAGTCCCCGGCAGCCCTTTTGGCGAAGGAATTTTCCTCATGTACAATCCAAACTCCCCTTGGCACAGCTTGAGGCCATTTTGTGGTGTCTGTGTCTTGCTGCTTGGCAGAAGAGACTGATCCCTGCCTGGCTACAACCTCCTTTCAGTGGCTGTAGAAAGAAAGAAGGTTCCCCTGAGCTCCTTTTCTCCAAGCGGACACCCCCAGCTCCCTCAGCCTCTCCCCATAAGTTTTGTGCTTCAGCCCTTTCACCAAGGTGTTTTTTATAGTGAGAGCCCAAATCTGAACCCAGGGTTTGACATGTGGTCTCACCAGTGGTGAATACTGGGAGTATGACCACCGCCCTGGTCCTGCTGGTCACACTGTCATTAATACAAACTAGGATGCTCGATTTTTCCCCTTTTAAATATAAGGAAAAATATTATTTCCCTGCCCCAATGCTGCCACAGCTTTCAGGTGTTTATTTCCAGGGATTTACTTTCCAAGAGACAGCTGGGATATGGAGCTGCCATCCTTGGGCACCTCGTCCTCACTTTGCTCACCCCAAGGCAACTTGGGCAGCGTGAGGTGTTTCTCTGTCATCAACCACAACAGCCCAGGACTATTTTAAGGTGCGAAAAAGGCACCTGCTGCTGCCTCCACCCACAGATGTTGTTCCCAGTTACAATTTGGTTGGGGAGCACTTGGAGAAGCAGATGGGTTTGGGGAGAGGGTCCCCACTGAGCTCCTGAGCCCTGAGTTCAGGTGGCTGAGCTGATTTCTGAGAGCTGCTGCTGAGGATGTGAGTGTGGGATCCAACCCATCCCCACCCTGCACATCCCTGCTCACCCCTCAGCCCTGCCTCTCCCTACCACGTCAGCTGTGGCACTGAATTTGGGCCTTTTATGCTCATTCTGGCCTTACCCTGATTCTGTGTCAGGCCCCAGAATTTGGGGGGAGTTTATGAACCAAAGCAGCAATGTCAGACCTACACCAATGGGAATTCATGTCCATGAATTTGATTTATTCCTCCGACTTTCCCCCTCCTATTTAAAACTGCAGTGATGGTGCTGAGCCAGGTAAAAGCTGATCTCATCTCATCCCATCCCATCTCTCTCCATGAGAAAGAAATGGATTCTAGAACAGCAGAACAAACACCACTGACTTTCAGGGGACTTTCCCCCGTGCGACTTCACAGATATGCAGGAGTGCCACTGACTTTCCATGAGGATATTTAAGGTTATGATTCAATGTAGGCACCTGTTTTCACTCAAAGCTCAGTAATTTTAGGCCTGTTTTCTCTGCTAACACTGAGCAGTGGATAGGGGCTTTTGAGGCTTGAAAAGGGAGGACAGGCAGGAAAATTAGCACCTGCACCTGCAGAGAGCATTGCATAAGATATAGCCTAGCTAAAATTAGCTAAAATTGTAACAGCACCCTGTCCTGGTGTCCCTCTCATGGGATACCTTCCAGTTTTCTCTTTTATCTTTAGAGGAATAGGTGCCTTTTTTTTTTTTTTTTTTTTTTTTTTTCTGTTTCTGTGGCTGAACTGACCTGTAACCTGTTTGTTTGACTGTCCGTGTGGTGGTGGGAGTTACAGAGCATAAAGAGTGGCTTTCTGATCTAATCTAAAGTATGTTTTTAATCAAGAATCCAAGCACATTTGAAAATTAAGGGATGGAGTTAAGTAGGGAGGTGCATCCCTGTTGGAATCTGTGGTAGTTAGATGATTCTGAGATTGCAGAAAGTCTCTGTCTTTCAGCCCCATTGCCAAAGAAGAAGCCATAATTCGTCTGTGCTGGTTTCAAGGTTGTTTATTCTGTTTATCTCTAACATGTTCTGCTGCCCTGCCGCAGCTCTGTCCTGCAGGGCAGCGTGTGGGGCTCTGCCCTCAGTGGGATGTTACAAACATTAAATACCAGAAACTACCTGTGCTGGATTTACAATAACGTGCCAATATCTGTCACCTACGTTGAACAGTGTGTCCCCAGCCTAAACCAACAGAAAAATGCCAACACTGCAGTGAAACATGGAGGGCATGAAGAAGGAGGAAAAGGACAAGACACACCCAATTTCCTCCATCTTGTTCCCTTTGAACCCCTAATCTAGAATCCTAAAATTTTACTTTTGCACCCGTGCCACACTTAATTATTACTTATATCAAACACTCAGAGCTTGTAATTCATCCTGTAAGATTGAAAACTCTTTTCCATGGACAGAGATCACAGACAGTGTCTCTGGGGGCTCTGTCCAGGGGGGTTCCTGACCCCTGCCAGGGTCCCAGACCTGCCAGGGCAGCCAGAGGGATGCCCTGGGTTCCCAGACATCCCCAGAACGGGAGGAGAGGGAAGGAGCAGAATGGAGCAGTGGAAGGTGGAGAAGAAGGTGGAGAACTCTCCCCTGCAATCCCCGCTGGAGCTCCATGGAGATGGGCACCTTGCCTGCACGGGGATGGAGCAGAGCACTCCCTCCCCCAGTTCAGTGGCTGTGCAGACGTTCAGTGCCCAGGATCTGAATCCCTGTTTTGCTTTTCCCAGCTCTGGTGAGATCCCCCCTCCATCCCGGGTCCCCCGGGTACCAAGCAGGGGAGGAGGTCGGAGCCTGGCTGCCAGCAGCAGCGGTGACCCTCCCGGAGCCCTCCCTGTGTCCCAGCCCGGTGTCCCACAGCATTCTCCAGCAGATTCCCACTAGATGGAGCGATGGCTGAGCCGCAGCAAACCCGTGGAAAGGCTTGGAAGTGGTTTCACAGCGGGGGAAGCAGCCACTGAACATAATAATGTTTTATTTTCCTAAGATTTCTTTAGCAAAGGAAAGTTTCCCAGCTGAGCTATGTGAGGAAGAGCTCTGCTTCACGATGTGGAAATTCAGTTTTCTTCCTGTAACCTGGACTGAAGTGTCCTCCTGGCAGCTCCTGCTGAGGGAGGAGCAGCCATGGGCACTGCTGGTCCTCTGTCACAGGACTGTGACATCCCTGTACAGCATCCCTGAGCCTGCTCATTGTCCCAGAGACACTGTCCAGTGCTGGTCCTCTGTCACAGGTCTGTGACATCCCTGTACAGCATCCCTGAGCCTGCTCATTGTCCCAGAGACACTGTCCAGTGCTGGTCCTCTGTCACAGGTCTGTGACATCCCTGTACAGCATCCCTGAGCCCGCTCATTGTCCCAGAGACAATGTCTAGTGTCCCTCCATCCTAATGCACTGCTCCTGTGCCCATCCTCGCAGCCCTGCAGCACCTCCCTGGGCCTGGCCTGACTTTTGGATCTTCACCAGAGCTTCCACCAGAGCTGGGAGCTCCCTTCAGCTCCAGTGGGCTCCCCCAAATTGCAGCATGAATGGATTTCACCCTCTGGCACCCCGAGAAAGCCACGTGGCACATGGGGGAACCTGGACCTCAGGTGCCCAAATGCTGCTCCTCCTTGAGCCCACACCAGTGTGGGGTGTGTGGCAGTGCCCAAAGCTCCTGGTCACAGCCACAGCCGTGGCAGAGCAGGAATGCCATGGGCTGGTGCTTTCCTGGGTCAGTCACGTCCTCCTTTCCCAGCCTGGCTGCCATTGAAGGTGGCCCTGAGAGAGCAGGGCCACCCCTGGCTCTGTCCTGCATGGCCCTGCTGCTGGGCTCTGTCCTCTCCCTCTTTTCCCTTTTGGGATGCCCAATTCCAGCGGCTCTGGAGGAGGCTGCCCCGTGCTGCTGCACTCTGGGGACACCCCACTGCACCCCTGGCCTGGCTGCTTTTGGGTGGGGCTCTGAAGTCCTGCCACCTCCACGCTCCCGGGCATCCTGGGGTGCAGACAGATGTTCCAGGAGCTGAGTTCTGGCTGTTCCTGCAGGAATTGGGCTGTCACCACAGATCCCCAGCCAGGTAATAATTAGCATTGACTCCATGGTTGAAGAAGGCTGATCAATTGCTTTATTATCATCCTAGCCTATATTATACTATACTTATTAAGAAACTCAGTAACCCTCACAGCCCATCCAATCCAGTTTTGACCTAATTGGTCAATCCATGCAAACACCATCCAGTGCTTAATTAAGAAATCACCCTTTGGTAAACAAATCTCCATGACACATTCCACATGTGCACAACAGCAGGTGCAGAAAGTGCAGATAGGAATTATTCTCATTCTTTCTCTGATTTTCTCACAGCCTTCCCAGGGAAAATGCCTGGAAAGTCTGTGCCTGCTCTCTGTGGCCACAGTGGGCTGTGGTAGAGATGCTGGATCCCAGAGCTGCTGCCACACCACCGGGAGGGTGAGTGTTGTCCCAGGGGGAGGCTGTGGGTGCTCCCACCCAGCAGCAGCCCCTCCTTCCTTGGAGGTGATGCTCTGTGGGAGGAAACAGGCAGAGAGCAGCACATGGATGACAAAAGGTGGGAAGTGCACAAGCTGCAGGGAATCAGAGAGGCATTTCCAGCTGCAGAGCAGCAGCCAGCCTGGGCTGGTCTCCCTGGGATGAATGGAATCTGTCCTTTGGGGCACTGCAGTCCCAGGTAATATTGTGTTTCATAAACTGCTCCTGGCTGGTGCTGCAGACAAGTCTCCCCTCTTTGCAAAAGGCAGCAGTCCAAGGATAAATCCATCAGCACAGCAAGGAGGGTGGGAGCTGCAGACACAGAATAAGGAATAACCACAGCCTGGGCAGCCTCAGGCAACACGTTTCAGAAGTGACAAGCTGGAAGGCTTTGCTTCCTTCACCTGGTGTCCCCAGTGAGGGATGATAACAGCATCCAAGCAGACATCCAGACAGGCTGAAGGTTTCCACACCCTCTCCATTCCAGCCCGGCTCTGGGGATGTGGCTGCTCTCCATGTGGGCCCTGCACAAATTTTATCAAGCACATTCTGAAAACTTTAACTGACCTTGAAGTTTGGGGTTGGAGGAACATTGATCTGTGGGAAATGGCAACTGATTCACTCACTGAAAGGCTCCAGCTGATCATCACAGAGCTTCAACTCAAAGGCCTTTCAGTTTGATGGCTCTTCTTGTCCCAGAGACTTT